GATCAAGAGCAGGTAGATGATCTAATAACAATGTGATCAAGAGCAGGTAGATGATCTAATAACAATGTGATCAAGTGCAGGTAGATGATCGAATAACAACGGGTTCAAGAGCAGGTAGATGATCTAATAACAATGTGATCAAGAAATCTCAAAGATCTAAGCAAGATAAAGACTGATCTGGCAAAAATATGCACAGACACATTAGCAAAGCTAGCTGAAATAACTCAAGAATGGGATGACAATCAAGACATACGGGATGCATCAGCTTATGGCGAAAAATAAGCGCTTTTGATCGCTACTAATCTTACTTCTATCTGCTGAAGAACCTACGTCCATACAAATTCAGAAAATTGCAACATTTAACTTGGATCGTAAAAAAATCAATTTATCTCCAAACAAATCATTCAGATATTACCAATAGTCATCGATTATTTTTCGACGCATTCGTAAATAGTTGATATTTCATAATATTTTTTACTTTTTATGATCTGATAGTTACTTTGAAATTTTTGTTTGTTTCGAGGATTTTTGATAATGAAGACGACATTTTCATATTTTTTGTGCCCACACCCTTTAATCAAATAAATTATTAAAGTTTTAAATTTCTACAGAACGAAATAAACCTGTTACCTGTCTTGTGTAGATCTCTACATAAATCATACCCAGAAACATAAGAATAATAATAAATCCTCCACTTTTTCTTAACTTCGCCATGTTTGTCTAGTTTGTGATCTGAAATCAAATAATCAGGGTTCGTTGATAATAATCGTATCAAAACGGTTGCATACGTCTCAGTTGATCTATTATTCGATGACAGAGATGTTGTATTTAAATAGGAAATATTTTTGTATTTATATTGAAAATATTGTTTGTATTTAAATTGGAAATATTTTTTGTATTTATATTGGAAATATTGTTTGTATTTAAATTGGAAATATTTTTTGTATTTAAATTGGAAATATTTTTTGTATTTAAATTGGAAATATTTTTTGTATTTAAATTGGAAAAATTCTTTGTATTTAAATTGGAAAAACGCAACAAAATAAAGAGAATTTAGCATTCATTCCGTGGTAAGGAAAACACATTTTTAAATCTAATTTCTATTTCTCTAATCAATATACGAAATGATCAAGCTGCATAAGATTTGTGCCCCTGCATAAGTCTTTTAATATTTATATTATATGAATCAAATTCAGAAAATGCTCCAAAATTTGAAAATTTTATTGTTTAAATTCGATCTTGTCTTGCAAGGACAAAAACTACTATAAAAATATTAATTGGTTAACTAAAAACGAGTTTTATTTGAATCTGTGATTAAACCTGTTGTCAGGCCAGTTAAATTGATGATAAAGAAAAAAAAGGTATCATGGAAAAAATTATACGTTTTTATTTCGTCAAAACTTTCGAATCAGAAACTTTATATCTATCCAATATGTCTGTAAAGAGAATTCGATATAAATCATTGAAAATAAATGAATTTTTTTCATTAAAAATGAATTCCTTAATGAAGGAGTATGTTCCAAATATATTACCCTAACTTTATAAAATGAATCTTTATGCATTTGACGTTGTGTTTATACAATAAATGATCCTATTTACATAATTATTTTAATTGTTTCCAGGTTTCTCAAGTTCTTATATTGATTTTACAATAAAATTCTTGTACATTTAAACATCTTTCAGTAAAAATTTACAGCTAATCCTTTATAGATATTCATAAGCAACAGCAATGAAAATAGAAATAGAGACGGATAAAGAAGGGGAATAGGGAGAAGGATATATCAGGATAGAGATGGAGAAGGTATGGGGAGAAGGACAGATCAGGATGGAGAAGGTATGGGGAGAAGGATAGATCAGGATGGAGAAGGTATGGGGAGAAGAATAGATCAGGATGTAGGAGGTATGGGGAGAAGGATAGATCAGGATGGAGAAGGTATGGGGAGTAGGATAGATCAGGATGTAGGAGGTATGGGGAGAAGGATAAATCAGGAGGGAGAAGGTATGGGGAGAAGGATAAGGGAGAAGGATAGATCAGGATGGAGAAGGTATAGGGAGAAGGATAGATCAGGATGGAGAAGGTATGGGGAGAAGGATAGATCAGGAAAAAAATTGAGAAATAGTGTGTGCGAAAGAGAGAAAGAGAACAAGAGAGAGAGAGAAAGGTCCTCCTTTCTCTTTTTAAACGGCTGGCCTCCGAGTGGATAGATAGATAACTAGATAGACATACAAATATTAGCCTCCAAACCCTCGGCGTTAAATCAGCTGAGTATAGAACAACAACGTTCATGTGATTCATCGTAGAATTTAAGTGAAAATATAAATCAAGGTTTGACGCTACACATATTAAAATTAATCTCTGCACACTATTATAAAATTGCAATAACAAAATTAATATTTTTCTAGATAAGCTTGCAAATAAACAAATGTTTGCAAAATAATTAATTCTAGGGATTGCCAAGTACAAAAAAATAAAGGGGCATTTTGCTAATTTAGACTGATTTTTTTTTTGCATTGCCATAGTATTTTATTTTTTTCGTATACTTTTCATTTCAAGTTTTTTATCTTTTATGGGATTTAGCATGATTCTAGATCTCTGCCATTTTCTTGTCCATCTGTAAGGTAAAAAAAGAAGAAAAAAAAACAACAAAAAAATGATTTAAAAATATGCATTGTCGGCGGCCTTTTTTAAGGGAGTGTCAATCAAAATTATATTTACAATCACTTAAATGAAAAATTACAAAATTATATTTACAATCACTTGAATGAAAAATTACAAAAAAAAATAATTTCTTGGAAATCTTTCAACTACTGTTGTTAAAAAATTTAGGCTAAGATCAAATTTTGTTTTTTTGAGAAAATGACATTTCTTTAAGATCAATTGGCTTCTAACTAGGGTAAACTGTTCATCTAATACATGTATATCAAGTAATAATAATAAATCAACAAAAGCTGTTTTTTGGTAATTAATTTTTCAACAAAATATATTTGAAAAGTGAATGTATTATAGAAGTTCTAGATATTTACTATTCACTAAATAAAGTTTCCGAATTCACTTTACAAAGAAGAATTCCCCTGTGTTTGCTTATATTTGACATTTAGCTTTACATATCTAGGTTCCTAGTTTTGATCCTCACATCATGTATATATATATATATATATATATCAATCTATCTCTCTGTATTTACTGTATATATACAATATCCATCTATTTTTCTGTATGTGCTGTATGAAATACACATATCTATCTATCTCTGTATGTATGAAATACACATATCTATTTATCTCTGTATGTATGAAATACACATATCTATCTATCTCTGTATGTAGGGAATACATATATTCTATCTATCTCTGTATGTAGGGAATACATATATCTATCTATCGCTTGCTGTAAAATATCTATCTATCGCTGTATGTAATGTAAACAAAATGTGTACATATATTTCTAATGCTGTATATATAAAATATACATATTTAGCTATGTATCAATATACATATCTAGCTATGTATGTTTGTATACAATATACATATTTAGCTATGTATGTATGTATAACTATTTATACAGGTTTTACTTTGTTTATTTCTTTAGTCCCTAAACACTTTAAAAATTTGACCTTTTAATGTTAAAGGATCTGAGTTTTGCCACAAACTCAGATTTTCCAATCCCAACATCTTCTCAACCCAATGTCGGTTACCTTTGATATTTTAAACTAAGAATTCTGTTAGGTTAAATAATCTAGGTTTGAAAAAGGTTTAAACCATCCGGATGCAGAGATATAGGAATTAGAATATCTAAGTTTGTGACAAAAATTCAGTTCCTTTGTTGGTGGTGTCCTAAAAAATGTCCCTCAAAATGTTTGTTTTTCGGAATTCTGCCTGCTCAAGCAGAAAAGAGGTTCAACTTAGTCTACTAAGTATAACTACTTATCGGCATTCATCAAATTTGCTCTCTTTCTAAGCATTTTTTAATACTTTCCTGGCTTCAGTTAAATTATCAAACATGTGTTTTTCATTAAAATAATCTCTGTTGAAGAGAAAACACTCCTAAATGTTTTAAATCTATTTCTTAAAATAATTAGACTAAACCGTATTTTTAAATCGACGTGAAGACGACAAAATAACGGAAATTATTCGTAATCTGCAGTCAGTACATTCAAGAGAAGTCCCATTAAAAAACGAAAGGAAAAATATTGCATAATTTTCCGGAATTAGAACCATTCATCACTGTAGAACTTATTTTTCTTCATAAAAAAAAGTTTCTGGATTAATGTTCAACCCTATCATAATTATAAAAAAATTTGAATTATGAAATAGAATTTACTCAAAATTTTATCATCTTTTCAAATTTCATTTTATACCTGGTTAACACTTTAAAAAAATCCTTTTAAAGAAACTACAGGGTTAACCACAAATAATAAGACTTCAGAGACGACTGTACTGAGTTTATACTGTCTATTTCCTTATATTTAGGATTCTCTGCAACTTTAAACTTGTTTCTTTTGTTGCCTTGTCAATAAATAGGCCATTAAAAGACAATATGCAAGACAAAAAACTTAATTTAACCTTATAATCGTCATATTTTTGAGTTTCAGGTTGCCTTTACAGTCTCTTTCTTTGTGGGTAACCCTGTATTTTAAATTTTAAATGTAAGATGAGAGAACGTCTGAAAACAACTGCAGAAAAATATGTTAAAACATTTATTTTCTTCAGGAGAGTAGTTTCTAACATCTGAACTATACCTTTAATTAGAAGCAATTATCTAGTCAAGATCTATAATGCTTTTATCTCTTTGTACATTCTACATATATAACACAATAAATGAATTTTAATTTATCCAATATATTTAATGTTTGAAATACATTAAATGTTTAAATTATTTAAACTAACAACTAAATATGCAGTGCTCAAATATTTGAGTTTTTAACTTTTTTTGCAACATATATCACAATACTACAATACTCGAGATAACATTTTATTTTTGTCTTATTCTTTTTGAAAAACACTAAAATTGATTCAAAAGTTGGTTTTCATTTCAATAGAAGTCCCTGCCTTTAATGATTTTTTGTAACACTTCGAAATTTTAATTTCTTTTCTAAATTTGTTGGTGGAAATAAATAAATAAGTTAGATATTGTAAAAATAAAGTTAGATATTTTAAACATGGAGTTATATATTGTGAACATAAAGTTAGATATTTTAGACATAGACTTATATGTTGTAAACATGAAGTTAGATATTGTAAGCACAAAGTTAGATATTGTAAACATAAAGTTAGATATTGTTAACATAGAGTTATTGAACATACATTAGTGTATACATATGTTCAATTAAGATATTCTGATGCTCTTCGGATATAATTTTATTCTGTGAAGAAAACTTACAAACACTATTTAGAGAAGTGAATTTAGCCCTTTTTTTACATTACTGCATAAACTGATGAATACTGAATACTTCTTTTTCCAATCAGAAATCCTTCAGATGATGATTCAACCAAGAGCGCGGAAGTACAGTGCACAAGAAGATAAAATTTAAAGATAATATCACTAAAAAACTTTACAGGGTCTCTTTTTCAGATTTAAAAATAATTTAGAATCATTAGTATAAAGATATAATCTTTTTTGGACGGAAAAATAAAACGGTAAAATAGATTTGTAGTTCTGATTTCCAAATCCGGTGTCTTGATTCTTACAAAACTGTGAAGATTAATACTCTTAGAGAATAGGTATGGGAT